AATGTCGTCTCCGTCCTGAGACTCTTTAAAAACAAACTGAATCCAAAGGACTGAGTCCAAAGTCTGTCCCACCTCCTTACCTGGACTGCAGAGGCTTTTATTCTGAAGCATAAAAATCAGACGTTCTCCAGTTCTGTTGGACAGTTTGTTGTGGTCCTACAGGTTGTGGCACAGTTAAACCTTCAGGAATCAGGAGACCAGCTCCTGTTGCTGCAGGACCTGACGTGTCGTCACCTCGTCCTCTACTGACACTCAGAGACCTTTAACCTTTGTTCTTTATCCAAATAAAATCTCCTCACATCGTCTCTTCTTTGTGCCATTTTTTTAAACAGAGAGCCAAAGTAGATTCAGAGTTCACATGTAGACAAACCCCACAGCTACACGCTAACTTTGGCCTAAAGATTTTGTCCTAAACGCCGGATGCTGCTGCTCTCCTCCTGTCACTCATCCTCCTGATCCTGGTCCTCGTCTATCTCTCAGCGCTGATCTTGTAGCGGAGAACGAAGTAAGCGATGAGCCTCAGAGAAAAGAAGAAGATGCCGAGGACGATGAAGTCCAGGTAGAGTTTGGCGTCCAGCATGTCCAGCTCCTTCAGGATGGCCTCAGACTTCTGGAAGTGACAGGTCTCGTCTTCATCGCAGTGAAGATCCACTCGATCCAGACCATAGATAGACAGGATGACGCCCTCGAAACCGTATCTGAAACACAACACAGGAGGACTTTACAGGAGGACAGCGGTCAGCGGACATAGATGTATTTGACTTTGAATTGTTTTAGATGATAATTCAAGTAAATATGGACGATTTTGAAGCACCAAGAGTGATGCATACAGATACATATAGAACAGTTGTAACTTTGGCTGGCAAACTTTGTTGTTATGCTTTTATTTGATGCTCCTTCCTGCTCTGAATATACTGCTATAAAATAGCGCAGTACTGTACGTCATTATTAGTTTGTAAATTCATTATATTTTAGGGTAGATATTTAAAAGGTTCTGTTGCAGACTTATTTAATCAAACAGCGCCCCCACCTGACGTAGGAGATGTAGGACATCCACTGCAGGTACCAGGGGATGGTGTCGAAACTGACGAAGAACCCCGAGAACAACAGAACAGGGATCGCTGTGACCGGACCAACAAACGTCGCCACCTGCAGGAAACAAACATACCGGAGTGAGGTCAGCAGATGAACACACCTGTCTGTGAGCTCACACAGGTGAGTTTATAGAAACTGACCTGCAGCGAGGTGGAGGCGGCGCCGATCAGCAGACCCAGACTCTGAGCCACCAGAGAGGTCAGAACTCCTAGAGACAGGAAGAGGAAGAAGCGCCCGGCGTCTGGAGGCTGAGCCGTCATCCAGTAGACAATACTGCAATACACCACCGGGAATACTACCTGTACAGAGGACAGACAGTACAGGGCAGTATTCAGTGAAGTAAACTGCCAAAGTATTGCTTCTACAAAAGGACATAATCTTTAAAATAAAGTTGAGTTCTCACTCACTGCTTAAATTTACAAGCTTTCTTCTGATTTTGATGTATAAGCAGAAACAGATTTCTTGAGGGACAGATGATGTAAACTGTTTTGTCAGACAAAAAACCAGTTCAGATCTGAACTGACCTGAGTGAACCTGCTCAAAAAGTTAAACTATTACATCTAAAGAATCTAAATCTACTGAGAAAATTAGTACATTTACTCAAGTGTTCTACTCCACTACATTTAGTGATGACTTTAGTTACTGTTTACTTATTTACAAATTAAGAGTTTACATTAAAAAAAGGAGTTTGGGAAATACAAAATATTGTTAACGATCAGTTTTGTGTCTCTGATGTACAATCAGTGAGCAGTTGTGTCTCTCGTAGAGTTTTCATCAGTTACACCAAAGACACATTTTACCTCTAAACTTTTCACATGCTTGTTGTACAATAATGTTTGATTCCTTGATTTTGCGTGTTATCACACTTTATCTGCTTTTTCACATGTCATTTTAGTCTGTCTGTAAAACAAAATAAAAACAAAAAAGAAATAAAAGATTCCTTCTTTAACTACACGAAGCTGAGAATACTTGTGTACTTTTACTGCTGCTGATTACTACTGATTACTACTTTACTGCTGTTTTTCTAAAAGATGTAGAACTTTATTTTTATGTCTTTCTGCAGCTGTTTGGCCGGCAGCCAGATGCATTGTGGGAGTCATGTGATGTTACCTGGAAGGGGACATCAGCCATGGTCTTGGCCAGGTAATAAGCCTTCAGACTGTACCAGTAGTTCAGGTGTTCCCTCAGGAAAACTCCCATCTCCAGAGGAACTGAAGAAAACACACAAAACACCATCAGATCCAAAAGAACATTATTTTATTATTTATTGTTTATATTATTATTTATTTATAAACTGTTTTTAGATCTTGATGAATTCAAATGTTTAACATCCAGACCAGGACCAGGAGATGGCCTGGGATGAGTTTACTCAGTACACGTGATAGACCAAGGGCTGAGGAAATCTTCAAAGTTTTTATTAATACTTTAAATAATAATCTAAACTTTAAAAAGAATAATTTCATTTTTTGTTTTCACAGAAATGAATGAAATGCTGAGATATAGTGTGTATTTTTGTATATACGTTTTTTTAAACCCCTTAAAATCAATAATAATAATTACTTGTAAATATTATAATTATCAGTAATATATCAATATTAATATAACTGTTTATATTACAGTACATATTAAACTACAGCAGAATTAGACCAAATTACAAAATATGGTAAAAATACAGTAAGTACAGTCAAATTGTAGTAATGCAGTATTGTTGTGTATACTGTATTGCAGTACAGTTACAGTAGTTTAATGTAAATCTAAATACAGCAACTGTGCCACCAGTAACTTACTGTAAATATACAAGGACTTTCTACCTCAAATAAGTACCTGAGTAAATGTAGACCAGTGCTACATTACTTCACTGTGTTTGTCTTTGTAACGCAGACACAGACTGAAGATGAACGTCTCTAAGATTAATCCTTTACAGTGTGTGGACTCACATGTGAGCACAGTGGGCATCAGAGCAGCGAACATCAGGAACAACATGGAGAAGAAGAGGAACCCAGAGTTACTGAGAACCTTCTTGGCCTCGTTCCCGATGCCCAGGTACAGCAGACCGATCAGGACCCCGATCCCGATGTGAGAGGAGATCCTCAGGTGAGTCAGCACCTGCCCGACCAATGAAAACAAACACGTTACTAAGATTGTGAGAGCTGCAGTAGCAGGCAGCTTCCAGCAGGCGGCGCTGTGTTATTCTCACCGAGTCTCTGAGGATGCTGAGGAACGTCCTCCTGAACAGGATGGAGAACTGGGTCATACAGCTCGCTGAGAAACTGTGACAACCTTCAGACGACGAACTCTCCTGAGGAGCAAACACACACTTTAATATCATCAATAATCAGTTCTGATTTATAATCGTTTTACATCCTATCAGTGAGATTATGTACTTTGATTGAGTAAATTAACCAAAAGCAGACATTCCCATCTCTTCATTTTATCAATAAGTAGAAGTTTTGTCTTTTTTGGGGGAAGGGGGCAGTGGGTCTTCAGGGGGAGATAGCAGGTTTAAAGTAGAAGTGGTATACATCATCTGAAAGCTGGAACCTAAAGATTCACTAGAAATACAGCTCATCATTGTGTACAAAATGTGTAATAAACATTGTGTTTATTTAGATTCCTATTCACACCTTCCCACCTTTGTATTGCAACTGTTGCACAGTAATTTCCCTCGGGATAAATAAAGCTTCTTGAATCTTGAATCTGAATCTTGAACATATTGAAAGTTCAGAATGTATAAAGGCCCAGAACGCTACAGTTTTTGGGTTGACAGTACAGACCTCTAACCTGTATCTAAAGCACTGACCTCTGACCTGTATGCAGCACTGATCATGTATCTTTTCTGTCCTGTGTAACTTAGTATTATTGTAGAGCTTTTGTCGGTAGAATTGTATGAAATGTTACACACAAGTGTTATGTGTCTTTATGTACAACATTCCCAGATTTGATTTCAATCCAATTCAGCATTAAAGAATTATGACCTGTTAAGTGCATCGGGCCATGCCAACAGCACTGATCTCTGTCCTGTATCCATCCTGACCTCTCTGACTTAGGTATTATTGTCAGGTGGACTCAATCGAATCATTATTAACAGTCTGAAAGACTAGTGTCAAATTATTATTCACTAAAAGTCATAAAAAAAAGTTAATACATTTTATTTTGCTATGCTACAGTAGAAAATTTCTAGTTTTATTTGATATGAGTATCTTCACTTTGGGTTTAAAACTGAGTCTGATACAGAAAGACTGTATTGTTGGCCGAAGAAGGTACTTTAAGCATTAAGAAACGTGACGGTGGAGAAAGTAGTCGCCAAAGAGTTGTGTGACTTTTTACATAACAATAGTTTATTTGAGGATTTTCAGTCAGGATTTAGAGTTCATCACAGCACAGAGACAGCTCTGGTTAAAGTTAATAATGACCTTTTGATTGCTTCAGACAATGGACTTGTCTCTGTACTTGTATTATTAGATCTTAGTGCTGCATTTGACACCATTGACCATGATATTCTTTTACAGAGACTTGAGCATCAAATTGGCATTAAAGGAACCGCACTAAGCTGGTTTAAGTCATATTTAATTCAATTCAATTCAATTCAATTTTATTTGTATAGCGCCAATTCATAACAGAAGTTATCTCAGGACACTTTTCAAATAGAGCAGGTCTAGACCGAACTCTTTAACATTAATTACAGAGACCCAACAGTACCACCATGAGCAAGACCTTGGCGACAAGGGCAAGGAAAAACTGCCTGTTAAAAGGCAGAAACCTAGGACAGATCCTCCGGCTCTAGGTGGGTGGTCGTCTGTCTCGACCAGTTGGGGTGAGAGAGAGAGAGAGAGAGAGAGAGAGAGAGAGAGAGAGAGAGAGAGAGAGACAGACAGAGAGAGAGAGAGCGAGAGACAGACAGACAGACAGGTGCACAGCAACAACAGTATTGGCAATGGCAGTCAAGCAGGACCATGGCAGGAGGCTCCACCAGGATCGATAAGAACCTGCGAGACGAGAAAGCACAAGAACTCCGGGGAAGAAGTGAAGTTAGTAACATGCATTAATGGGACATGAATGAGTGCAGAAAGAGAGAGGAAGAGAGTAGCTCAGTGCACCATGGGAAATCCCCCGATAGTCTAGGCCTATAGCAGCATAACTAAGGGATGGTTCAGGACTCACCTGATCCAGCCCTAACTATAAGCTTTATCAAAGAGGAATGTCTTAAGCCTACTCTTGAATGTGGTGAGGGTGTCTGCCTCCAGAACCACAACTGGAAGCTGGTTCCACAGGAGAGGAGCTTGGTAACTGAAGGCTCTGGCTCCTGTTCTACTTTTAGAGACTATAGGAACCACAAGTAGCCCTGCATTTAGAGAACGTAATGTTCTAGTGGGGTAATAGGGTACTATGAGCCCTTTAAGATATGAAGGGGCCTGACCATGAAGAGCTTTATAGGTGAGGAGGAGGATTTTAAATTCAATTCTACATTTTATAGGGAGCCAATGCAGAGTAGCTAGTACAGGAGAGATGTGATCTCTTTTTCTAGTTCCTGTCAGTACTCGTGCTGCAGCGTTCTGAATTAATTGGAGCGTTTTAATGGACTTATTGGGGCAACCTGATAATAAAGAGTTGCAGTAATCCAGCCTTGAAGTAACAAATGCATGGATTAGTTTTTCTGCATCTGTCTGTGATAGTATGTGTCTTATTTTTCTAATATTACGTAAATGAAAGAAGGCAGTCCTAGAGGTCTGCTTTATGTGGGAGTTAAATGACAAATCCTGATCAAAGATAACTCCAAGATTCCTGACAGTGGTGCTAGAGGCCAAGTTAATGCCATCTAGAGTAACTATATCTTTAGACAGTGAGTCTCTAAGGTTTTTGGGGCCAAGAACAAGAATTTCGGTTTTTTCTGAGTTTAACATCAGAAAATTGCAGGTCATCCAGGATTTTATGTCCTTAAGACATGTTTGTAATTTAGATAATTGATTAATTTCATTGGGTTTGATTGATAGATATAACTGCGTATCATCTGCATAACAGTGAAAGTTAATGGAGTGATTCCTAATAATGTTGCCTAAAGGGAGCATATATAAAGTAAATAGTATTGGTCCAAGTACAGAACCTTGTGGAACTCCATGACTAACTTTAGTATTTATGGAGGATTCATCGTTAACATGTCCAAACTGAGAACGATCTGATAAGTATGACTTAAACCAGCTTAGGGCAGTTCCTTTAATGCCAATTTGATGCTCAAGTCTCTGTAAAAGAATATCATGGTCAATGGTGTCAAATGCAGCACTAAGATCTAATAATACAAGTACAGAGACAAGTCCATGTCAGAAGCAGTCAGAAGGTCATTATTAACTTTAACCAGAGCTGTCTCTGTGCTATGATGAACTCTAAATCCTGACTGAAAATCCTCAAATAAACTATTTTTATGTAGAGATTCACACAACTCTTTGGCGACTACTTTCTCCAGAATCTTAGAGAGGAAGGGGAGGTTAGAAATCGGTCTATAGTTGGCTAAAACCCCTGGGTCAAGAGTGGACTTTTTAAGAAGGGGTTTAATTACAGCTACTTTAAAGGACTGTGGTACATATCCTGATAATAAAGAAAGATTAATCATATCCAGTAAAGAAGTGCCAATTAAGGGAACAACTTTAAGCAGCCTAGTTGGGATCGGGTCTAATAGACAGGTTGATGGCTTCGATGAAGAAATGATTGAAGTTAACTGATGAAGATCGATAGCAGAAAAACAGTCTAAATATATATCTAAGTTTACATTGACAGAAGTCCCTGAACTTGGAGAGCCACTGATAACTGTTGATGGCAGTTGGTGATTAATTTTTTCTCTAATAGTAATAATTTTATTATAGAAGAAGCTCATGAAGTCATTGCTACTTAAGTTTATGGGGATATGTGGCTCAATAGAGCTGTGACTCTCTGTCAGCCTGGCTACAGTGCTGAAGAGGAACCTAGGGTTATTCTTATTTTCTTCTATTAATTCAATTCAATTCAATTCAATTTTATTTGTATAGCGCCAATTCATAACAGAAGTTATCTCAGGACACTTTTCAAATAGAGCAGGTCTAGACCGAACTCTTTAACATTAATTACAGAGACCCAACAGTACCACCATGAGCAAGCACTTGGCGACAAGGGCAAGGAAAAACTGCCTGTTAAAAGGCAGAAACCTAGGACAGATCCTCCGGCTCTAGGTGGGTGGTCGTCTGTCTATTAGTGCTGAGTAATAGGCTCCTCTGGCATTACGGAGGGCCTTTCTATAAGTTTTAAGATTATCTTGCCAAATTGAGCGATATTCTGATAATTTGGAAGAGCGCCATTTCCTTTCAGATTTCCTAGCTATTTGTTTTAACTGGCGGCATTGGTGGTTATACCAAGGTGCTAGTCTCCTATGTTTTAATAATTTCCTTTTTATAGGAGCGATAGAGTCTAATGTTGATCGTAGTGAGCCTGTAGCACTATCGACAAGATTATCAATTTCAGAGGGACTAAAGTCATTATAGGACTCTGTTAAATTCAGACATGGCATTGAATTAAACACTGAAGGAATCTCCTCCTTAAATTTAGCTACAGCACTGTCAGATAGACATCTGCTGTAGGAAGTTTTGCCTAATGGCTTATAATCTAATAGTATGAATTCAAAAGTTATCAAATAATGGTCAGATAGGAAAGGATTATGTGGGAAGACTATTAAATGTTCAATAGCAATGCCATATGATAGAACAAGGTCAAGAGTGTGATTAAAACAATGAGTTGGTTTATTTACACTCTGACAGAAGCCAATTGAGTCTATTAATGATATAAATGCATTACTAAGGCTGTCATTGTTAACATCCACATGAATATTAAAATCACCTACAATAATTACTTTATCTGATTTAAGCACTAAACTTGATAAAAACTCTGAGAATTCAGATATAAAATCAGAGTACGGTCCAGGAGCACGGTACACTATAACAAATAGAACTGGCTGCAGTGTTTTCCAGTTTGGGTGAGAAAGACTAAGAACAAGGCTTTCAAATGAATTATAATTTAGTTTAGGTTTAGGGTCCATTAAAACGCTTGAATCATATATGGCTGCCACTCCACCTCCTCGGCCTGTGCCTCGAGGAATGTGAGTATTAATATGACTGGGGGGGTGTATTCATTTAGGCTAACATACTCCTCGTGGGACAATCAGGTCTCAGTAAGACAAAGTAAATCAATATCATAATCTGATATTAATTCATTCACTAAAACAGCTTTAGAGGACAGAGACCTGATATTTAACAGTCCACATTTCATTCTCTTATTTTGTGCTACTGAGGAGTTAGTTTTAATTTTTATTAGATTTTTATGTTGAACTCCTCTTGTTTTTATTTCTTTAAATAATTTAGGTGGTCGGGGGACAGACACAGTCTCTATGGGGTTTTGGGTGGGTGACTGTTCTAAAGAAAGAGCAGAGAAGTGTGTAAGACAGCAGCTCTGCTTCCTTTATCAGATTGTTCTCAGTTTGTACATGTTAACGATGAATCTTCAATAAATACTACAGTTAGTCATGGAGTTCCACAAGGTTCTGTACTTGGACCAATACTATTTACTTTATATATGCTCCCTTTAGGCAACATTATTAGGAATCACTCCATTAACTTTTCGAAAATGAAATTCTTGTTTTTGGCCCCAAAAACCTTAGAGACTCACTGTCTAAAGATATAGTTACTCTAGATGGCATTACCTTGGCCTCTAGCGCCACTGTCAGGAATCTTGGAGTTATCTTTGATCCGGACATGTCATTTAATTCCCACATGAAGCAGACCTCTAGGACCGCCTTCTTTCATTTACGTAATATTAGAAAAATTAGACATATACTATCACAGACAGATGCAGAAAAACTAATCCATGCATTTGTTACTTCAAGGCTGGATTACTGCAACTCTTTATTATCAGGTTGCCCCAATAAGTCCATTAAAACTCTCCAATTAATTCAGAACGCTGCAGCACAAGTACTGACAGGAACTACAAAAAGAGATCACATCTCTCCTGTACTAGCTTCTCTGCATTGGCTCCCTGTAAAATGTAGAATAGAATTTAAAATCCTCCTCCTCACCTATAAAGCTCTTCATGGTCAGGCCCCTTCATATCTTAAAGAGCTCATAGTACCCTATTACCCCACTAGAACACTACGTTCTCTGAATGCTGGGCTACTTGTGGTTCCTATAGTCTCTAAAAGTAGAACAGGAGCCAGAGCCTTCAGTTACCAAGCTCCTCTCCTGTGGAACCAGCTTCCAGTTGTGGTTCGGGAGGCAGACACCCTCACCACATTCAAGAGTAGGCTTAAGACATTCCTCTTTGATAAAGCTTATAGTTAGGGCTGGATCAGGTGAGTCCTGAACCATCCCTTAGTTATGCTGCTATAGGCCTAGACTATCGGGGGATTTCCCATGGTGCACTGAGCTCCTCTCCTCCTCTCTCTTTCTGCACTCATTCATGTTCCATTAATGCATGTTACTAACTTCACTTCTTCCCCCGGAGTTCTTGTGCTTTCTTGTCTCGCAGGTTCTTATCGATCCTGGTGGAGCCTCCTGCCATGGTCCTGCTAGATTGCCATTGCCAATATCACTGATATTATTGTTATTATTATTATAAGTATTATTACAGCTACGGTTACTGTTGTTGCTATTGTCACTGCTCATTGTCCCCTATCGTTGCTGTTGTCATGTTCATCATCATCAGTCACTACTATTAGTGTAGTTGTTGCTACTGTTGTTGCTTAGCATCTGTCTGTCTGTCTCTCTCTCTCTCACCCCAACTGGTCGAGACAGACGACCACCCACCTAGAGCCGGAGGATCTGTCCTAGGTTTCTGCCTTTTAACAGGCATTTTTTCCTTGCCCCCGTCGTAAAGGTCTTGCTCATGGTGGTACTGTTGGGTCTCTGTAATTAATGTTTTAAAGAGTTCGGTCTAGACCTGCTCTATTTGAAAAGTGTCCTGAGATAACTTCTGTTATGAATTGGCGCTATACAAATAAAATTGAATTGAATTGAATTGAATTGACGAGCATTTTTATAGATCAAATGATTAATTGAGAAAATGACCAGTAAATTAATAAAATAATCAGTGCTAAATTTAATATAATGTAAAACAAAGACTAAGATTAATAGAATAAATGAATAAATAAAGGTCTTTATGTGGAGTGTTTGGAGGCTGATATTCTGCACGAAGTTTATATAATTTCTATCTATTATTAATTTAATGCATATTAATAATATCATAAAAATATAGGGGAGAGTGGGGTAAGTTGAGCCAAAGGGTAAGTTGAGCCACCCCTTGTTGCTAGGAAATTGTAAAAAACATTGATCATGTGACCAAATATTTAGGAGGAAGGCATCACTTCATGGAGTCTGTGAATGTATGTACCACATGGGTAAAGTGGTTGGATATTTATTTCCAAAAAATCATTTTTCACTCTTGAAAGTGAATTCAGTCTATCATAAGTGTGTTTAGACCAAAATAGATAATTAGTAGGTATACGGCTCAACTTACCCCGTGTATGGGGTAAGTTGAGCCACGAGACCGCTTTTTTTGGACATGCTATATTATCGAAACAGTTATGTTTACACTCATTCTCAGTTTGTTTGAAGGGATGCACAACATCCTGAAATATATACAGATATATTAGTTAGCAACAAAACTATGATTGCCTTGATGTAGTGATCCTAAATATGAAAAATAAATAAATTGTAAATATTCGGGTTACCAGGAGATCACAAACTTTTCTGTGCATACAATTAGTTGATTTTTTAAATGTTTTCTTTTGAAAATATTGTTTTGACTGTGGGTGCGTTTGTTTTCTACCTCTACTGTGCGCTGCCACAGGAGTGGGTGGAGGTTGGCAACTCCGTTCAGTTCAGTCTGATAATCCTTCTCACAC